TGTCCATGTGCCTCTGCTTTCAAGGAAACAGGACTGGATTTTTGAGGAGAACAAAACCTCGAGATGTTTTCAAATGATTTCTTCCCTCTATGGCAAATGCTTTATCTTTAATATTGCTCGGAGGACGGTCAGAAAAGATTTGTCTTCATATCGGAGGGGAAAAACTGATAAAAGGGGAAAGGAGGTGCTAGATTATATTACTCAGAGGAACTAGGGGGATCTGCTGTTTCTGAGAACCTTCATGCTGGAAGTTTCCTTCCAGCTCCTAGCTAAGGAGAAGTCAAATGCAAATAGCTGCACATGAGGTATTTCAAGGTGTTCGGTGTTGTTGTAAGAGAGGTTTTTAAATAGTGAAATTCAGCTATTGATAGAAATTAGTAGCTATTTAAATAGCTATTTCTGAGCTTGGTCAAATTGTTCTATTGCCATGYGCGACAGAGCTTCTTCTTTCTCCAGAGTGGCTCTGCTGCCCAACGTGGATAACAAAGTCCCTCATGCTGACCCTTACACAAGCGCCTTTCACTTCTCCTGGTTGTCCTTGAGCTACAGCCCCTGTTTCTGCATCCTCACAGGTGCAGAGGAAGATGCTCTTTCCTTCAACGTAGCCTGGCTGGATTGATGTGTCTGTGTGGCCTCAACTAAGGGCTGCTCCTGGTCCAACAGCTTGAGACCTTATCTTTACTCTGCTCTGTAGAGCGTTATTTTCAGGGACATCCCCTGTGCTGGGGACTATGAGCACAGAAATGTCACAAATCACTACCATGATTTGCTGTCCTGGCCTATTGCTCCACCAAAGGTTTTTCCAGAGCTGCTTTCTGCTGGTGATGCCCATCAGAGCAGGAATGAAGAGCTGGCGTGACATCTGCTTGCAGTCTGACCCATAACTTAATCCTTGCTGCATTTCCTAGCCCTAATGATGGAAAAAGCAGGTGGGGAGAGAATGGCCTTTACAGTTGTCCGGACAAGACCTTGCTCCTCTTTCCAAATTGGTCATGGAAGAGGTTGACTCTTCTCTKCCCTCCCAGAAAAGAGCAGATATAGAGTGGTTAGCCTGGAGGGGCCATGCCTAGAAGAAGGCATCTTCCTGGGTGCCCAGCTCCACTGCAGCACATCTTATCCTCTTCCTAAATGAGCTTTGGAGCGAGTTGCTGGGAGGAATTTGCTGCTGTAAAAGCACTGAGCCTTGGCCGATACCGATTTCCAGCACAAGCTACATGACAGCAGATTGGGGCAAGGACCAGGCTACGAAAGGCTCAATAATATGCCATTATTATGTGTTTTTTAGGAAAAGGGGAGGAACCTAAAGAGTCTCTTTTCTGACAGTTCGTGGGCTGAGTGGAGCTCTTGGCAATGGAGATTAGGCAATTARATCAGGCAATAAAATAATAATAAGTAAATAAATAATAAAATAATTGTATTAGGCAATCTGCCACCACGGGCAGATGCTGCTGATGAATGCGGTGGGGAATATCCCTCTTCCAYCCATGTTTGCACTCAACTGAAGAGCCGCTAGATGGCAAGACTGTCCCATAAGGAGCCAGGACTCGAGCTGCACTCCGTAGACAGGCAAAGCGCAGGGAAGCAATGTGGATTTATTCTGCTATGCTGGATCCTGCTCGACTCTGGATGTCGCATCTCCTCAGCTTTCCCTTGAGCACCATCTATGAGCGTGTTCAGGGCAATCCAGTGACATGGAGCTTGGGGCTAGGGCSTTGTTACCAGCTCCAGCATGTGCAGGAGTTCATGTTTTAACTTCTCTGCTCRGCCAAGTGGCTCTGAGAGAGGCTTTGGGATCATCCTTTGGAAGATGCAACTCAAGGGCAGATCTGGGGATCCCGTTGGCTGCAGGGGGTCTCCTTTCAGGCACCAGTGAGAGCAGCTGTTAGACGGTTCCTCTTCCAGGCACGTTAATCTGCAGCTGAGGGTGAGTGCTGACGTGTGGAAGGGAGCGTGGTGATTTTACACATTGCTAAACTCCCATCCATGCGCCGTGTGTCTTATCGGCCATAAATTCCTGCCAGAGCAGCTCTTTATTGCACCCGAAGCAGGCAGGTGGCTTCCCCTTTTAAAGGCTCTTAAAATGCTTTATTTCTTCCTGGATTTTGCCCTTTCACACATCTTCCCAAGGATGTACATGGAGGTGTTTACTTAAAGAGCCTGCGCCCAAATGCCCATAAGCGGCAGCAGGCAGGAGATGAGTCACCTCCACGGGCTCCGTCTCACGTCCCGGCTGGCGCCGCGAGGAGAAGGGGTCGGAGCTGACGAATGTCTTTGTGAGATGAACTTTGTGGAGATGTAGGGGACCAGCACTCATCTCRCGAGGGGCCCCGGGTGGCTCGTTAGCCGAAGAGCTAGTGCTAAATTCCCTTTAAAAGCTGTAGTTCCCTCCCAAGAGGCTCCAGGTATGGATTTAGATGTCCTCTGCGGATGTTCTCTGAGCTCCATCACTTATTTCTAATGATCCTTTGGCAGCTGCTGTTGGCTACTTCGCTCTCCCTTGGAGGGACATCCGTCATTTTCTGGCATAGTGGCYGTAGTTCTCCCCCAGACCCCAGGTTTTCTAAGGCTTTTTAAAGGATTTTTGTCAAAGCAGATGAAAGCCAAGCTCCACACTTCCCAGTCTGCATGCAAGAAGACTGCAATTGTCCAATTGTTTATAGCCTTTAAGAACACTTTTRGCTCTGCCCCCCTGTGGGTTATAGTTGGGAGAAAAATTAAGTTGTGCTTATCTGCCTCCCGCTTCCAGTCGTACCAGTGCCTCAGTGGGCAAAGAGAGACGGAGCTCCCGACCTGCTGGAAAATAGAGTCCAGAAGAGSTTGGGTCACACTTAATTCATGGCATTTAGGAGCAAAGCTGTTGCTGTGAGCTGTGGATTCCCGCATGCAGAAACGYGGGAAGCGCTTCTGTGCATCCCGGTGGCTGCGAGCAGCTCTCCAGCGAGGCCCGTCAGGCAGAAATAAGAAATTTCGGATGCTTGGCTTGGTGCAGATGTTTTCCTCCGTGCAAACGGCTTGTTGCCGCTTCAGCTCTCCATTCACGTGCTGGAAAAACCGGGAAGGGGCAAAGCAGCCAGAGGCTTTGCAGCTGCGAAGGGGCTGGAGCGAAGCCCCGGRCCGCGGCCGCGCGCGACCGCCCCGTTGCAACGCGAGCGCCGCGGGACCGCCAGGGCGTCTGTGGAAAAAAAAAGCAGTTTCGCCAACGTTGGCAGTTTTTTGCATGTATTTGCCAGCCAGGAATGGAAAAAGAGGAAAGCGTGCGTGTGTGCAGGGGGGTTCCTTGCTTACCCAACGTGTTGCAATGTCGCCTCTGAGCTGCACTGGAAGAGGAACTGAAAGTCTGACGGCCGCAGTGGGTGCTCTGTGACAGCACTGGGGCTCTTGGGGAATGAAAACAGCTCCATTTGGGAACAGAAACAGCAATTTTGCACAGATTTCTTCCTTTCTTTCTCTTACTTTTTTTCCCCCAAGAGGCTCTTTGGCCGCAAGCAGCTCCAAACCCGCTGCCATCCCGAGGTTCGAACCCTCCCTGCAAATTTTTCCCGCACAGCTGGGGTCTCCTTGGCTGCCTCCCACTGTCCCCTTATATCTTTAGCTCCCATAYGGTGATGCATGGGTAAATTAACCTTTTCCCACGATTTTCTGGGTGCCGATAGGGAGCCCAGTGGCGCTGGAGGAAATGCAATTTTTTCTTGCTGTCCACCCAGGGGCTTCTCRCCCTTAAAGAACTTCCCACCGGCTGCAAAACCCTTTTAGCGCTTGGCAGGAGAGGCCTCCTGAGGTGCCCTGGAGGCAAAAAAAAATCCCTTAAATAAGTTTTTCCCTTTCCCTGGGAAGGCACTGACGCTGCAGAACAGCAGGCTTGAATGAAAGGCCTCGGGCACAGGAGAGGAAATGGAGTGTGGGGGGGAAAAGCCCGACAAATTGAGGCTCTTCCCACATTTGTGGCCACAAAACACGCTCGGAAAGAGCACTGAGCTCCCGCAAAGTGCTGTTGATGATGGGTCACAGTGATAGCGGTGGCTTCTTGTGCTAGCAACTGCTGTGTCCACCTGCCTGGTGTTTGGGGAGGAGAAGGTCGTTACCCCGAGCAGATCTGGTGGCCACCAAGACCTCCATGGAGGTGGTGCCACCCACCACACACCGTTAGTTGTTCACTCCTGCTAGGGACCCTGCTTTGCTCTTGGTTTCCTTCTCCAAGCTGCTTTCGGGGTCCTATTTAGCTGTGGGAAGCATTTGCCAGCCTCTCCATTCCCATTAGCTTTTGCTAAGGCTTGAAATGATGCACAAGAGCAGCCTGGGGCTAAATTTATTGAACACTCGCTTTGGTTTTRTTTAACACCGACTGTCTATAGCCCTGTGGCATCTATATACACTATGAGTCTATAAATATATATGTATATACGTATATATTACTTTGTGCTGAGGACAAGGTAATGGATAAGAAGCCAACAGCAGACACCTTGGAACGGTGCTGGTCTCCTGTACGGGGTGAGGTGAATTCAAGCTGACCTGCAAGGCAGGTAGACGYGGTGATGACCACCTCCATGTGGGCAAGGAGAGGCACGTAACGGCGGCACTGAGGCTGTGGAACCACCAGGATGGGCCAGTGCTGGGGTCTAGGCTGGGCAACGCCGGTGCCCAGGCTGACATTTCAGTCCCGGCGCCCGGACAGATGGGTGGCGTGCCGGGATGGGCTGTTTTCTTTGCATCTGCATGGGCACACCTAATGCAAACAGCTCTGAGCAAACGTGGCCACCCAGCCCCTGCTTCACTCTCCCTTGTGTCCCCGGGGTTGGGTTGGATGGCTGCGTGAAGAACCCTGATTGCCTTTGCCCCAGGCCAGCACGTTGGCTTCTTGGTGGCTCCCGGTCACCTTCATCCCATCGGCCCTCAACATTGCAGCTAGGTCAACCAGTTTTGGATGGTATCGGGGAGGAAGAAGTGGGTCCATAGCTGCCACCAGAGGTGTCCTCCACCCTCTGACCATGCCAGACCCCCACTCAAACCTGCGTCTGCGCCCCGGGGGGCTCCGGCAGCACCAGGACGGCGGGCAGGAGGCTGCCACGGGGCGCAGGGAAGGGCTGCAGCTCCTTGGCCCCGAAGCGGGGCGAGACGTTGTCAGCCAGGAAGCGGAGGTGGAAGTGGCGGCCCAGGCAGTGCACCAGGTGCCCCACGGCCACGCACTGGAAGCACGCGGGGTAGGGCATGGCGTAGGTGGCACACTCGTACCACAGCTTGGCCTTGGYGCTGCAGCGGTAGACGCCGATGCCCATGTTGCGGTTGAGGTCGAAGCGGTAGACGAAGCCGTCGGCGGCGACCATCTCGGCGGTCCGGTCCTTGCTGCCGCCGGCCGGGCCCACCTTCCAGGTGTCGGAGCAGGCAGCGTAGCGGAGCAGCAGGTAGCGCGAGGTGCCCCCGGTCACGTAGACCTCCCCGTCGCACACGGTGGCCGTGTGGGCCACAGCGAAGGTGTCGCTGGGCAGGGGGGCAGCGAAGGCCCAGCGGTCCTGCCGCGGGTCGTAGCGCTCCACGGTGGAGAGACACTCGCCGCCGATGGCGTAGAGACAGCCGTCCAGGGCCACCAGCTTGCAGTGGGGCCGCGCTTGGTTCAAGGGGCAGATCTCCCGCCAGATGTTGGTCAGCGGGTTGTAGCAGAAGACGCGCTTGGAGCAGCCGGCCACCACAAAGAGGTAGTTGAACATGCTGCACGCGGCGCTGCCGCGGGACGCCGCCTCGGGCGGCACGTGGCACAGGTGATGCCAGCGGTCACCTGCGTCGTCGTAGTAGCAGAGCCTGCTGGTGTGGAGGCCCGGCTCTGGGGTGCTGATGTCTGCCACGGCCACGCGTTTCTTGCCCTTCATCCTCTGCTGGAGGATGAGCTCTCTCTCGCCGGCGTTGAGGCCACCGTAGATGGAAGGGCTCTTCAGCACCTGCAGGTAGTTGTCGCTCATGACTTTGTAGGCAGCCTCCTGGAGATGGCCCAGCCTCTGTGCCTTGGCCATGCAGAGGACCTCATAGCAATTGCCCAGGTCCAGGTGGATGTCTGAGCCGGGCCCCAAGGCTGGTGACTTTTGGAAGAAGCTGGCGCTGGCCACGAGCCGGGGTTGGAGCCGTGGGGCTGGGGGCTGGGGGCTCGCTGGCATGCCGGAGGCTGCCACCACCTCCAGGCCACCCATAGGCACCTGCAGCTGGGGATTCTCCACGATGTGGAGAATGCTGCCCTTGTGTCCGGAGGGTTCTGGTGGGTCCGTCCCCATTCCTGCCCCTTCCCTGTAGGAAACCACGGAGCTTCCCACCGGTGCGGGGAGGATGGGAGAGGCAGGGCGGTCAGCTGGGGGYTCCGATGCTCTCCTGTGGTCCAGCGATTCCGAATCCAATGCTGCTGCTTGGGAATGTTGCGTGTTGAGCTGCGTCTCCTTGCCCTGTTGCTCTGGGGTGACCTGCTCCGTATTTGGGAGTGGGGTGATTCCCTGTTGGATGTAGGGGTGAGACCTCCTCTTGGAAACCGACTGGGAGGTTGATTGGACGAAGTAGTCGTAGACTTTCCCCTTGAGTCCAAGGGCTRCCTGCCCGGCACCGGCCTTGACCTGCCTCTTGGGGATGTAGCTCTCCTCCACTTGGATCTTCGCAACCGAGGAGAAGGAGTAGGAGGTGTCGGAGGCTGCGTCTCGCGCCCGCATGGTGAGCTCCAGGTTTGAGGTGACACTGCAGGTCTGTGTCCCTTCCCTGTTCGCCCGCACCGGCTGCCAGTGCCCGGGCAAATCCTCCTCGGCACTTTGGGCACATCCATCACTGCCCGTGCAGGCAGATGGCATTCCCGTCCCAAGCCTGCCGCCGGGGCAGGGGGATTCGTGCGTGTCCGTGTCCTGCTCAGCGACGCCGGATGACCCAGGCTCGCTCCACACAGCCGCTGCCAGCCCAACCGCTTGGCCGGGCGGCCGCCCGCCCCGCGCTCCTTCCTCCTCCTCAGCCGCCGGCAGCCTTCGCTCTGCCCGCGCACCCCGTCCCGCCTGGCCGCCGTCCCGCTCGGCCGCCATCCGCCTGCGCCGCGGCCCCGGCGGCGCCTCCCCAGCGCCGGCCTCATCCTGCAGGGCCTTTCCACGGGGCTCCCCGCGCCCTCGGCGCCGGCCGCTCGCGCCGGCCCGTGGCGGCTTGCAGAAGCGATACGCCAGCGCCAGCAGCAGCAGCGCCGCGGCCGAGAGCGCCAGCTTGCCGGCCAGCTGCACGCTCGCCTGCCACTCCGCGCTCGCCCGCCCCGTCATTGCTTCCCCCTCCTCGGAGCGGGCACGGAGGAGTGCCGAGAATCCAGCAGGCCGCGGGCAAGGTGCCTCGGAGCGCAGCAGAGCTTTGCATATTTGAGCAAGGTGGGACGGGCGACAAGGCGCCGCTGCCGGCTGGGCGCACAGGGCTGCCTTTATCCCGCAGGTAAACAGGAGAACACAAGGAAGCACAAAAGCCGGAGCAAGCCGAGATGCCACCTGCCCTCACTTCCTTTTGCTGTTTAAAAGGGCCCGTGGGTGCGACCTCGGGCCCAGGCGAAATGCTCGTTTTAGACTGCAAAGACTTGGGCCTGAGTTTGCAGTGAGCTGGCCCTTGGAAGCTGTACACGGCTGTGAAACCTCTAGCAATGCCACTTTATTTTACTAAAGCTGTGATATTTGATGGATTCTGGAGGATTCCCCTTTCCCTGGCGTCACGGTGCAAAGTGGCTCGCAGGGCCTTACTTCCCTGCGCAAGTGCTCCCGATGCGGGTGGGATCCTCTGGAGCGCTGGTGATGCTGAAGCATCTCCCCTTGCACCACGCAGGACAGAGCAGGGCAGGGAAGGCCCCACCACCCGCATCCTAATCCTGGGAGCGGGTGCCGACCGCACCGCGATGCTCCTGCTGCCTCTTGGCACGGGACTGGGCTCTGCTTTCCCAGGTATTTGCGCCCTGCCTTTGGCCCGGCACCTCCCCTAAGGACACGAGCGGATGGGTGGCGTCCTTTTTTTGTCTTTCAAATGTGTCCGGAGCTGTAGGAAACGGCTCGTTTTCATTTTTTTCCTGGCAGTTTTGCATGGAGGCTGCCGTGCGCCGGGCTGCCTCGCAGCTGCAAGGCTGCGGCCCCACACGGCTCTTGGGAAAGGCGGTGAGCACTGGCTCARTCCTCCGGGATGGGTGGATGGATGGATGGATGGATGTCCCCACGCTGGTGTGCACAGCACAACACGGGGTTTCACGGGTGCAGGAGGCTGCGGTGGGTGCCGCGATCCCACCTGCAACCCCCGGGGAAACGTCTGTGCGCGAGGCGAAACACTGAGTGCGGGCTGCCAAGGGGAGGGAGGAGATTGGTTTTTTCCTTTTAATTAAATTGGCTGAGGAAGCYGAGACACAGACAGAAAAAGCCCGAGACTGTAAATATGATAGAAAAAAAATGAAAACAAAACAAATAAACCAAAAAAAAAAAAAAGAGAGAACCAACTGTCAGAGGCGTGAATGCTCACTGGAGCCACGCGGAGGAAGAGGAGGAGGAGGAGGCAGGCAAAGCTTCACGTTAGCTCCAGGATCACTGTCAAGGTGAGTGCCAAAGCAAGCTGGAAGCTGCAGCGGTTGGAGATTGAACCTGGGTGGAAGGAGAGAAGGGTCAAGGTGTTGGAGGAGCCACCAGGAGGTTGTCCCTGTGGGGCTTCATGTGAGCTTGTCACCATGGAGCTCCACACAGGTTGTCCCAATGGATCTCCATGCAAGGTTGTCCTCATGGAGCTCCACGTGAGGTGGTCACCATGGGACTCCATGCAAGGTTGTCCCCATGGGACCCCACGCAAGGATGTCCCCATGTATCTCCACATGAGGTTGTCTCTGTGGAATGGATCAGGGTGATCTCTGTCTATTGCACTCACCGTCTGAGTCCTCTGTTCCTCTGGGAATATTGGGATTTTCTAATGGGAGACAAAAGGCAAAAACGCAATTTAGTGGGGAATCCAGCCAGAATGCTCTAGCTCCTTCTAGGTACATTGTGGTCTCCTGGTGAACTGGGGTCCCACCACAGCACCAAGGTCCTACCGAAGACGATGAGCCTGGTGTGGGTGTCTGTGGAGCCCAGCGGGTTCTGTGCTGTGCAGCGGTACATGGAGCCGTTGAGCTCGGCTGGCACCCGCTCCAGCACCAGCTCCTTGCCATCGTGCTCAGCACTGCCGTCCAGGAGCCTGCTGCCCACTCGGGTCCAGGTGAAGAGCGGCTCAGGGAAGACTTCATTCTGCAGCCCATGAGAGAGGCGGCTGTGAGACGTGCCCGAGCACCAAGCGCCACRCCAGCCCATGGGGATACCTCACCTGAAAGCCCTGCACCAGGATGCGCACGGTGTCTCCGACACGGGCTCTTGTTGGGGTCATGGTGATCTTCGGGCCCTTAGGAGCGACTGCAAGAASAGGGAAGAGTCATCAGCATGGCTCCCCAGGGTTGACCTTGGCCAGATTGATGGTGCTTTGACTTTGATGGGCATGCTAATGGTTGTCCAAACAACTGATGGACAAGTGCCCTGCAGGCTGATGCTGGCAAGTGCTCCTTGGCTTGGGTGAGACCTATGTGGACAATGACATATTTCTTAACTGAGATCCCTTGCTCAGAAATATTGGTTGAGGTGGGGGTCTCCTTGCCCATTGCAATGTGGCCACGTGCTCTGCRCTGCCACCACCAATTGTTTCATCCTTTACAGCTTCAGGATCCATCTCTTCTGCCTGCTCCTCACCAGAGGTCATCTCCAGCACATCATGGAGTACTCAGTGCCAGGAAAAAAAAACGTTGCTGGATGTTGGCAATCAGGAAGGGTGCCCACCAGCCAGGATGTCACACAAGGCCTTTTGTTGTGACAGGCTGCAGAAGGTTGGCCCATGCTCTGGTCTGTATCTAAATTTATATGTGTGTCTCTCTCTCTTTTCTTTTTTGATAGAAGCAACTGGTTTCTGTTGGGTTCAGCACATGTGCTCTGCCCTTTCCAGGCAGCAGCAGGGCTCAACGCATCCCCAAGGGGATGGGGACTCCCTATGGCAGTGTCCAAATTGTGTGTGTGGATGGTGAGGACCTCCTGAAAGAACACATAGGCTGGAGGCATCTTAGGGGATGAGCAGGGCAGTGTCCATGCTTGAACTGGGGGGACAGTATGGGTCAAGCTTCTCTACTGTAGGTTTTTGGAGGTGCCAAGGTGGAGTTGATGAATGTCTTGGATCTGGAAATTGGCTGGATGTGTGTGCCAAGTGCAGCACTTGGTTAATTTTGGGGGTGGCCGTGTGCTGGAAAAGGTCCTTAGAGTTGGTGGGTGGAGATGCAGTCTCACTATCAGCATGCAGGCAGCAGCCCTCCTTGTCGAGGTCTTGGGCTGTGGGACCTCCTGGCCAAGTGAGATGGTTACACAAGGTGGGAAGCTGCATGGGTCCAAAACACAGGACTATGTTTGTTTTTCAGCTTGGTGCATTAGAAAAGGTCCTGYGTTAACAGATGTTCTCCTTTAGGAGTGTTCTCCTTTAGGGCCAGGACCTCCTGCCCTCCTACAGGTTCCTCGGGATTTGAAGATCCCCCAAGGCAGCCCAAGGAGAGGAGTTGGTTACCACATCCAAAGCCAATGAGGTGGAGCTCTCCTGGTGAGGATGATGTAGTTGAGTGCCCTGGGACAAAGCCAAGATGCTGCCCTCTCCCCCATTAGACTCCATGGGAGAAAGCCTTGAGCAGCCTAGTCTTACCTAACAGGATTGTCCAGTCTGTGGTGAAGGCAGTTGGGTAGGTTGCAGGGTCCCACTTTCTGCCCATGCAAACTGCCCTATTCACCAACCCCACCGTGGTTGTCTGGGGACTTTCTGCCTTTCCAGGCCCTGGCCATGCTGGGAGCCAATGGGGCTGGCCTGGCCTCACTCCTTTGTGCCCTATCATGGCTAGGGCCTCATCAGTCCTATGGGMTGCCCGGGTTCAGGGATGGCCTAGCCCCTTGCCAGCACCTCCAGGTGGAATAAGTCAAGTGGTGATGGCCAACAAGTCTATGATTCGGAGCATATCTGGCCTCGCTGCTTCCATAGGAGGCTCCTTTCGTTCTCCTGGGACCATGTACGGATGATTGGAGRGGGCATCTCTATGAGGGTGAAGGATCCCTCAAGATGTGAAGCTGTCCAGGAGATCGCCACCATGACCGCACCCTAAGGAGATAACTAACAAGGGGCCATCACCTCCCCCCGGCCTGCAGAAAACCAGAGYAAAGACAAACCAAACACAGACAGCAAAACCCCAAATGCCTCTCCCATCTTTGGAGCCCCAGTTCTCTGTTGACCTGGACCTAGACCTAGAGCCCGACCTGGAAGTGGATCTGGACCTGCAATTAACTCACATCTAAACCTAGACCTAGACCTAAACTCCTATCTGAATCTAGACCGAGGCCTGAACCTGGACCCAGTCTCCTCACTACAAATAGTCCTGCCTTGCTAATACCCTTCTTACACCTCCAGCATCCCAAAACTAACCCCTTGCACCCCAGTAACCCCCTGGGAGCACGTGGAGTGCTGCCTCTCTTAATGCACCCAAATTTAGTGCTCTCTGCCACTGATGGACCCCCCAAATATACCCAGCCCTCCCGAGGGGATCTCAACCGCCGATGGTGGCAGTGGCACCAGCTGCATCCTGCCCTCCCCGGCTTACCAAGCGTCACCTCCGCCTGCATGGGCATGGAGAGCGCCGGGTGCTTCACCTCGCAGCTGAAGAGCGCCTCGTTGTCGATCTGGGGGTTCAGGGTCCAGGTGAGCGTGGCCCGCGCCTCCACCGTGCCGTCGCTGAYGGGCAACTGCGCGTGCCGCACGTAGTAGATGGGCTCGGTGACGTGCACCCAGCGCGGGAACTCGCGGCTCACCACCGTCTCGGGGATGGCCTCCGTGGCAGGGCCCCGCTCAGCCGCCAGCCCCCGCGGCGGCTCCAGCGTGCTGGGCGGCCGCCTGCCCTGCACCTCCTCCTCGGCTGCCCACAGMGGCTTTGGCACCTTGGTGTCGTCTAGATCGCGGTGCAGCAGGTTMCGGGGCGCCCGGCCCTCCAGCAAGTCCCTGTCGCTGTCGGCACCGCCGCCACCGCTGCTGCTGCTCGGTGGCTCTGGCAGTGGCGTCGCCTCAATGGGCTCCCCGTCGCGCTTGAAGTACACCTGAGTGGARGGGAGATGGGCACGATGAGCTTGGTGAGGACAGCACCGCACACCCATGACAGCCCTCCAGGAAGAGCCTCCGCGCTGCCCGCCCTGACCTGCTGCACTGCTTTCCCCAACCCTCTGTGCCATCTGCACCCATGCGGTGCTGTGCACCGCTTGCATTGACCCAACCTGCTGTGCTGCTTGCACCAACCCAACCCAATGCACCCTTCCAAACCGACTCAAGGTACTGCTTGCACTGACCCTGCTCACCCTGGGCACTGCTTGCAATAATTCAGCACACCATTTGCACTGGCCTGGCCCACTGCACCACTTGCACTGAACCAACTTGCTGTGCTGTTTGCACTGACCCGACCCAACCCAAACCAATGTGCTGCTGCCCTGCACCAAACCAACGTGCCACTTGCACCGACCCGACCCACTGCCCCACTTACACCAACCCAGTGCCCTGGGCCGTTTGTGCTGACCTCACACAACACAACTCAACACAACTCAACACAACTCAACACAACTCAACACAACTCAACACAACTCAACTCACCCCAAAGCTTTCACTGACTTGAGCTAATGCACTGTTTGCACGGACCTGACTCAATCCAGTGCACCATCTTGACCCAGTGCTCTGCTTGCACTAACCTGGCACACCGCACACCATAACCCTTGCACAGACCCACCATAACCCAGCACACCATAACCCTTGCACAGACCCACCAATGCCACACCACACTACTCGTGCCCACATGGTGCCCCGTTTGCCACAACCCAACCTGCTGCACCTCTCGTGCCGGTCTGCACCAACCCAACTMACTGCGCTGCAACGCTTGCATCACSGCACTGCACTGACCTACTGCACCCATTGCGCGCTGCCCRGGGTGCTCACCAGTGGGGCAGGCTTGCCTCCGGCCACCACGCACACCAGGGTGAAGTTCTGYGCTTGGTAGCGGCTGAAGGGCGCCGGCGTGTCAGCAGCCACCACCGAGATGGACGTCGGAGGCGCTGCCGGGAAGGAGAGCGAAGCCGTGAGCASCCTCGGCTTATGGGGCTGCAAAACCCCCCGAGGGGGCAGAGCGAGCCCAAGCCCCTGTGACGCGCTCACCCATCACGTTGAGGAGGACCCTAGCGGAGGCCAGCACCACCTTCTCCCACGAGGCTCGGTCGTAAATGCCCACGTGGCACTCGTAGGGGCCGCTGTCGGAGATGCGCACATCCGGGAGCCTGTGGAGCAGGGTGAGCACCATTGACAGCCCTTCCCCGGCTCCCGCGCCCGGCTGCGGGAACCGCCAAGGGCACCTCTCCATCCTGCCCATTACTTAGTTATATTCCAGCCCCGATTCTCCGGGATTCGCGGCCGTTTTGCTGCCACGATGCTAATCCTGTGCCCTGCCTTGACCCAGATCCAAGCAGCTTGGAGGAAGAACTAAGAGATTCGGTGCAATCCCTCAAATCTCTGCTTCTCTCTACTGAGGAGGCTTTTCCTAACAGGAAAGGGACGGGGAGGACTGGGCCAATTCCAGGGTAGTCATCGATGGAGCAATTCCCGTGCCYTGGGATATGTTCATTACTCACTCTGCCTCTACAGCAAGTATTCCTGTGATCGAAGCGGGCAGAGCTAAAGAACCACAATAATGCCTGATTAGKTTTTTTTTTTCACCCAAAAAGAACAGGGAAACAAGTGAGATGTGATGAGTTTTCAGCCCCTCATGGAATATTTGTGAGTTTGCCATAAATATAATAGCAATCAGCAGTGAGCCAGAGAAGCACTCAGAGGAAAAGAGAGATGGCCAAGCGGGATGGAAACCACAGAGGGGAAAATAGCCATGAGAAAGGGAAAAGAGGCCAAAAGAGGCCAAAAAGAGATGAGGAGCAAGGTGTGGATGCTGGGAGCAAGGGGGAGCTTGGCGGGGACATGGCAAGTGCGGCTGCTTCTCCCTGCTTACCGCACTGTCGATCGGTAGACCAGCTCTTCCCGCTTGCGGTAGTTCTCCATGTGCGAGGAGTTGGTGGAGAACATGGCATCGAAGGTGAAGATCTTCTGCCTGATGGTGCCGCCTTCTGTCACCTGCCACAGAAAACGCCCGCCAAGTATTATTTTCATAAATACTACCAAGCAAATATCTGGGCCTTTTTCCCYGGGTGTGGGGCTGCATGCACGTCCATATATCCTAGGATATCTATGTATTTATCTATCTGTCTATCTATCTGTCCATCATTCCATCTCTCCCCCATCCAGTACTCCATCAATCTATCAATCTATCCATTGCTCCATTCAACCATCCATCACTCCCTCCGTCCATCCGTCCGTCCGTCCATCCATCCATCCATCCATCCATCCATCCATCATTCCATCCCTCCATTTTCTTTTGCTTCCCTCTCCCTTTCCCCTTTTAAATAATTTGGGGAGGGGGCTACCCTGCTGCAAAAAGGGATTTTCCTCTTGCAAATCAGCTCCTTGGTGCAATTTCGTTGTCCACAAACCATCCTAGAGCAGCATTTTAAGTCCCTCGGGTGCCCAGCGAGTGGGAACCCGGCCCTTACCCGGTACCAGACGATCTCGCGCATCCTGCCGTCTGTCTTGAAGTTGCATTTCAGGATCACGGAGTCACCCACCACCACAGGCGGCAGCGGCTCGATGCTCACCGTGAGGTAGCCTTTGAGGGGGCAGAGGGAAAGGCTTGGTTTGGGGATAAAATATATTTTTGGAATGAAAATAACCCCCTACATGCAACATATGCCGGGAGTTTTGGGTAGCAAGTGTTGGGAATTCTCGCAAGTCTATTAAAAAAAAAAAAAAAAAAGGAAAACAGAGAAGTGGGGAGAGATAAATGAATAAATGAAATGTCCTTTTAAATCAGGAGTGACATGTTAATAAAAGCAGCACGTTGTGACACACGGTCCTGCAATTAACTGCGTGGCTGCCAGCGGGGAGGCAGGTTGYGCACCAAGCAGCCTGCGCTGGCCGTGGGAAAAAGGTGGGAAAAGGCGGAAAAAGACCTGGCTCATGTGGGACCATGCTCCTGCTGGGGGAAAACACCTTCCTGTCCTGGGAAAACACCCTCCTGTCCCGGGAAAATGCCCTCCCACTGGGGGAAAATGAGCGTGGGAAAATGCCATTGTAGGGACAGGAAAACCATCGGAGCGGTGTCGTGCAGTTAGGCCTGGTTGTGGCCACCCTGTTCCCTTGGGCTTGCTGTAAAGCCTGACCCTATGTTGGGATTTTCCGCTCTTAAGACGATGCATCTCCTGTCACCGACCCTTCCAGAAAGCTGAACACTGAGCACAGAAAGGACATGGAGGCACCGACACGGGAAGCCTAAAGCAGCCTTTTAACCCGGCTTTCATCATTGGGGCTCATGCATAATTCCCCCAGTGCTGTTTCGCAYGGTGCAGCAGCAACAAGCGGGTGCAAAGCACCTGAGGAGCACCCAAAGGTGGGGGAACGGGCAGAAACACCTTCAAAACCGCCGAGCAGGGGGGACCCGCAAGGCAAAGCCACAGCCTGCGCCGAGAGGCACTAAGCCGCGGCGCTTCGTGACATCTTGTTCATCAAAGATTAAACGCCGGCGGCCGCTGCCTTTTTTTCCTGCGAGCGCAGCAAAAAGTGCTCGCCGATGCTTTATTTATGCTGCCGCTTTGCAATTCCGATGCGCCGCTGCCTCTCCCCRCTCGCTGCGGACGGCCCCGCGAAAAAAAAAGGGAAAAACTCCAACATGTCCCGCGCTGGAGAGGCCCGATCTGCTGATCCGGGGTGTTTTTCCTCCTTGTTTGTCAGCGAGCTTTTTGTGCGAGCCTCTCTCTGTTTTTTTTTTCGCATGGAGGAATCGGTGCTTTCACCCAGGTCGAAGGCCGGCAAAGGCAAATCGGATGCGACAGATGGAGGCAGCTTTGCATTTCCGAACGAGCTGGGTCTCTTGCGCGGCGGAAAACAAAATAAAATCAAGGGGCAGCAGGGGAAAGCTCGTTCCCGATGGACCGGCGAGCTTGGCATGTGCTTGACTCGCTGCGGGCAATCGGCCGCCTAAAACGCCCACTCTCTCCTTGCCTGGCCCTTCCACGCAGCTAAACCCAAGCAATTTAAGCTTTATGCAAGCACTCGCTATATATATAAGTATATATATATATATAAGTAAATATATATGCTCTCTCTGCCACTTGCCAGGATGAGAGGGACGAGAGGGAAAGCCTGGCTCCCACCGCGAGGAAGAGCAAATTGCATTAATCCTGTGTAAAGAGGATATTAAGCAGGCCGGCCACACAATTAAGATCCGGTAATTAAAATTCATCTTCCTTCTCACCGCAGAGGAGGAAAGTGCAAACATTTAATTATGGGCCTCTTACCTCCCTGGTTTGCATGAACGGGCAGAAACACTTACATTCTGCACCTCGGATCATTGCTCGCGTGGGCTGGGGAGCCCAAGCCAGGTGGTTTGGAGCCCGCTTGCTGCAATCGCCCCACGCCCTGCAAAGTCCCCAGATGCTTCTGTTTTCACAGACGTGCTGCGTTTAGAGGTGATCGGAGAGAAGTTTGCCGCAGGGAGAGCTGTGCGCGGTGCGCGCGCCTGCCTGACGAACGCCTTGCCAGGATGCGCCTCGCGCGGCTGCGCCTTGTCACGATGCGCCACGTCACGGCGTGCCCTGCGTGGACGCCCCGCGCCACGATGCTCCTTGCAACGATGAGCCTTGCACAGATGCACCTTGCCGCAATGCACCTTGCAGGATGCACCTCAGCACAAAAACACCTTGCAAAAATGAGCCTAGCACAGATCCAGCTCACTGCTGTGCTCCTTGCATGGATGCTCCTTGCATGGATGCTCCTTGCATGGATGCTCCTTGCATGGATGCTCCTTGCAAGATGCACCTCACCGTGCTCTGCCACCATGCTGCATCCTCATTGCACCTGGAAGGCAGGGACCACAAGCTGCCAGATTGCTTCTGGGGACACAAACACCGTCCTCGAGCCCTCCTAGTTGCATTCGCGGATATCCAGAGAGCAGACTGAGCACAGTGGGGTGTTCTGGTACCTGGGAAACATGCCCGGCTCGGGGACGATGTTTTCGCGCCGCTTCGGCTTCATTCCAAGGGAAACAGCGAGCGCAGCTGCAAGTTTTTCATTTACATGGAGAAAAGAGACACGGGCCAATTTTCCATAATGAAAGAGGGCAGGAAAGATGCTTCAGACCTCCCCTGCCTCCACGCTATAGCTCTGCTTCTTCTTTGCACTGGGGAAATAATTTGGGGCTACCCTTTTCTCCCAGATTCRCACGTTCCAAACCCCTGGGCTCGCTTGCTCCGTTAAGTAGATTAAAACGTATCTCCCTCGCGCAGCCCTGATGCGTAATGCTGATTTACCGGAGGCTCCGTGACAGCCGCACGTGGCTGCTACCTTAATCCCCATCCATCTCCACGCTGTCGAGAAGCAGCCGCTAATTAATACCTTCCTCTCTGCCGGCCGCGTCCGGATACAACCGACTAGTGACACCCGCCTGGCTCCTCGCCACTGATCGGCAAGGGCGATACTGAAACCTCCCYGCTGCCAGACATCCATTTGGGGGTCTTTTCCCCAAAAAAAAATGCCTGGAAAAAGCATCTTTTGCACCTCCCTTCAGTGCATCAGCAGGATCTCCTGCTGCAACCGTGTAGAGCAAATCCAGGGCACTCCGGATGCAGGAATGTGGCATCCGGAGAGTAATATTCCCCCTCCTGCAGGCTTTGCTCCACTCGCTCCACGAGCCTGGCCCAGCCGCTGGGAGCTTGGGAAGAGAACGACGAGGAAAATAGAATTAATAAGAATAAAAAGAGGCATTGGGTTTTCTGCAGTGGCTTTCCAGRGACTGCCGGCTTTGGTGGCCCATTTGCAAGCCATAAACCCTCTCCTGCTGGCCCCAGGGTACATATAGACATCCATATATATATATATACACACACACACACACACACATAGAGTTGTCTCCCGTGCAGTTGTCTCCCGCTCTCCGCTCTCCAGGGCAGATGCTGCCGTGCAGAAAAAGCCCTGCCCATTTTAAGGGGTTTGGGGTCTCTTTCCCACCTCGGGGAGCTTTGAGCAGTGGGAGAAGAGGGGGGTTCGTGTGAGGAGATCCCCAGAGATGTCGCCGCTCCCTTGGCAAGGCGTCAGGCGCTTGGATGYAGGAGTGGGAAAGGGGAAGTTTTGGCATGTCCTCACCCTCCATCAGCACCTTTTCCAGACATTCAAGCTGTGAAAGAAGTGGGAAAAGAGGATTTGAGGGATCTTGACATCCTGGGACCATGATGGCCAGCAGAGGGTTGGCAAAGTACATGTCGCTTCCTCTGAGGTGACGTTTTCCTCATGGGACCACCAACATGCGGAGAATCCCAAGCATCCTCTCCTGCTCCTCAAGAGCCCATCCCAATCTGAATTCAGGCTGGGAAACTCCTTGCTAAGTGAGCTTCTCTTAGTTGGAAAGCCGGGCTTTAAATTGCAATCATTGGCCATTAAGGTTCTCCTTGGACCACCTGGAGAAGTTCTCCTCTAGACCACCTGGAGAAGCCCTTCCTTGCCAGACCAAAGGTTCTTTTATGAAAGGGAAGAGGCAGCCAAGGCGCTCTGGACTTGGAAGGAGAAGAAGGGACCAGGGGAGTGCAGCGATTTCCAGCTGGCAACCCGAGGTTCAATGGCCCTCAGGAGTTAAGAGAAGATTGAACAGTGCTTGGTGGACAGCCAGCCTGTCAGGTGGGGTGGCTGCTCAAGATGCGTGTTCCTCTTGCCAATTACAAGCTCCTAAGCGCTGAGTAAGCACTTGTTAATTATTTATATTAAGTGCTCCTCTCTAGTAGACGTGGCTTGACCRTGTGTCCCCTTGTGAGGAGGAGGAGGTGATGGCTGCTTTCCAAGCAGGACCTGCCATGTGAGCGGCCTTGGCCAGAGCAATGTGTAGCAGCGTGCAGCAATGTGCTCGCAGAGACTTCAATATTGAGATATCCCCATGGCTTTGGTCCATGGGCACATGGAAGCAGGTTCTCCCTGGTGGCTGCCCATCCAGAATGTGGTTTCCTACTGCTCTGGCTTTGATCCTGCTTCTCAGGGCCATTAGATCCCACTCAGGTAGGTCCTGGGCTCCCTCTGACTCTCCTGCAACTGGGGCAATTACTGGTGTAAATCATCCCTTTCACCCTCATCCTCCTCTTCTTAACGTTTGACAATGTCAAAGGCAAACACACCATCTGCAGACACCTCCAGGGTCTGTCCTGCACCTGAACGGCTTCGAGAGACCCCCAGACTCTCTCCCAACAAGAGTTTGATCTCAGCCTACACGGCCCCACGCTGGTTGGTCTCATCACACCAATGACGACACCATGAAATCCCATCTTGGGGCGAGCTGGTCTGGAGGCCAGGCACATGCCCGAGCACGGTGGCCCTGAGGAACAGCAAACCCTACCGCAGCCACCCACAGCCCTGCTCTTATCAGGAAACACCAGCACCTCTCCTAGCCATTCCCATGCTCTGGATCAAGGCCTAAAATCACTCAAACGGCTTTCCAAATGAATAGGTACAAATAAACGSACAAGGCCGGCACATTCCCCATGGCAGGGTCTCCAGGTCCCAGCTCCCCAGGCCTGGGCAGATAGGATTTATCTGCAAGCAAGGGGAGGCGGAGCRGAGATGAAATAACTGCCACTAATCCCCTCTCCCCTCCCCGCCGAAGTATATTGTCGAATGCATTATATAAACTGTAAATTATACAGAGGATGGTTRGAAGAGAAACTAAATCCCTGTCTCCCCGGTCCGTTTTCAAACGCTGACGGTCCTCGGAGACGCCTTCCCTTGCAGCTACAAAGGTTTGCTCTTGCAGATGGAGATTTGCTCATGAGAATAGGCAGAATGTGTGGTCTGCAGGCTGGGGATGTCTTGGCAATGCCACACACTGGTAGCCTCTACCTCCAGGGCTGCTTGTCCAAGGAAGAGACCTTGCCCATGCCCAGGGACTTGAAGGGTCCCACCAAGCCACACGCAACACCCAGCTGTGTGAAAACCCTCCTGCGAGAACTCAGGCAAGCTCTGTGGGTGCAGACCCCCCAGCATGTCTTCTGACCTTGTGTTTTCATGTCCCTGGCCAGGGAGGCGTTCAGGTTGCTGGGACTGGGTGTTCTCCCCATGTTCCTGTTCCTCACCAAGCAGCAGTCCTTTCCCACCTCTAAAGGACCAGCGAGCAGGAGAAGGGTGGTGTCCTCCACCTGTACCAGCCAGAGACAACTCAGCGTTGGCCACCACCTTAGGCCATTGCGCATGACACAGTCCTTGGTGTCACTGTGTCCCAAGGGGATGGGGAGATGACATCTCCCAGTGGGAGCTGCCTTTTTGGTCACAGGTGCTTACTCAGACCTCCTTGAAGCCAAGGGTTATGGCCCTACAGGGCCATAGCGTAGAAATAAATCTAATGTAGAGTSTATAACTTGGATCTTCCCTCTCTTGGTGATCTCCACATGCTCCTCCCTAAGATGCTTGATGCCACTGGTYCTTTTTGGCTAGATGACCACTAGGAATCCTCCAGCTCTTCCCAAACAGCAGCAACTCCACCAAGAGAGAGACACGGCAGGAACCTGATACCAACAGGCACCTCACTGCTCATCGCCCATGTGAATGATGGCGATGATGATAGTCACATTGCGAAGCCCAGAACCAAGAACAAATCTGGGACTGGCAATTTTCTTTTTTAAGGAAAGAGATGGCGGAGCGGGAGGAAAACGGGAAGGAGCCTCTGTGAGCTCCAGCCGTGAGCTGAAGCTCAGAGCTGCTGCTCTGAACRAGCAAACAAAAGGGCAAAGAGAGCGACCTGGCAAGGGGACAACAGGCGGTGGCTCAGCTGCCGCCTCCCGGCTCCAGCTCCCCAGGACGACCTGTAAGCCCGGAGCAGACTGAAGGGTTTGTTCCCAGCTGGGTTTTATGGGTAAAAACCCGCTCCCAAGCCCAGCCCGTGCCGGGTGCTTTTCCATCGCTGCAGCTCGCAGCAGGCTTGGCATGTGGAGCAGGGCCAGAGCAGGTCAAGCGTTTTCCGATGAGGGTTTTTTTCTGGCGGAAAAAGCCATTTCCACTGCTACGGTGGAAAAGGGCAGGCGAGAAGCCCTGAAACCTTTGCCTTGATCCTGTCACGCTCCCGTATCAGGGCGAGGTGGGGATGTGGGAACCGAATCGCCTGCTCCCTCCGCAGCCTCATCGCGGAGACGCCGCAAGAGGAGGCACATCCAAGGAGGATGCACAGCCCAGAGCTGGATGGTGGGCAATGAGCCACGATTCAATGAATCCCCAAGAGTTTCCGTGCCCTGGAGATGGTTATTGGCTTGGAAAGGCATGAGATGAAGCCAAGGCTGCAAAAACGCTCCGYGGATCCGAAGTGGGAAGCTTGGCGCAGGTGGCCGGGAGATGCTGAGCAGATCCGCACGGCTCCGGTGCCGACGGGGAGGGTGACRGGGCAGGCAGAGGCACACGCTCCTCCTTCCTGCCTCCTCCTCCTCCTCCCCGGCTAGTGAAGGCCCAGGGCAATGCTCAGCAGACACTACTTGGAGAGCTTTAAACAAGGAGCAACACCTGGAGGTTCCCCTGGTTTCCGACTGCAGCCGGGTGTCGCGAGGGTGAGGGCGCAGCACGAAGCGGARTGCACGGATGCCAGCTACATAGATATCCCGCAGAGATCAAAACCTGACACGTTTCACCCTCCTTTCATGCTTGCAAAACAGCGTTCTGATGTTACACAGCCGTAAAATAAAGTGCCTGGTGAGCGGCTTATGGGAATATGTTTCAGCCCGCCAGCCAGCTAATAACTCGGCTAGCGGGGATAGCTCCCTGACTGCGGAGCGGGCTGGCCAGCTTTCCAAAAAGCAGGAGTTACTGCTGCACCAGGAGACAACGGGCAACCTCCCGCCTTCCTTTCCAGCCCCAACCCCCAGCTCCTTAGCCCGCTTAGCTCAGCCCATAGCCGAATGCACAGCTCTGCTTCCCTTTGGCCTTTTCCCAAGCACTGAGTGGGATCCGGATCCCTCCCCTGCGTGAGCATCCCTCTGTGGTCCTGCTGCTCTCTGTAGTCCAGCATCCCTCTRCGGTCCAGCACCCGTCCATGATCCTGCATCCCTCTCAGCACCAGCATGCCCCCTCGCCCGGGCGGATCTCGGACCATGCAGCCAGAAATGCCATGGGCCGAGGAGAAACCATCTGCCCTCTGCAGCCGGCTGGATTCGGGGCAGCTCCGCGGCGGCGGCTGGGCAGATTTCAGCAGATTGAGCTGAATCTGACCTTTTCGGCTGGAGAACCCAGGGGGGATCTGCTGATCTCCGCTGAATTGAGGTCACTCRTTTAGGGAGCGACTGAGAGGGGCTGGAAGGGAGCGGGGGCTCCCCGGGCTCGAGGTGGGGATGCTTTGCAGGGAGCACTGAGTTTCGGAAGAGCATCTCTTCATCAGCTGCAATAGGAGACGTCAAGCAGCTTACGCTGGGCTCGATTTTAACGGTGAGAGCGTGAAAAGAGCCTTATTTGTCTCAGAAGGACAAATCCTGGTGCTCGCTGGCACCTCTCCCCTCCAGACCCTGCTGGCTCGGGATGCGCGCAAGGCTGAGATCCCCTCGGGATCGCCACAGGGATTTGCAACACGGAGCCCCGGTGCTGGGCAAAGCAGGCGGAGCGGAGGGAGCCGCTCGGCGCGGCGGCTGCGGCGAGCTCGCCCGCGGCGYGGAAAGCCGGCGAACCTTGAAAACGATCCACCCGTGACCTTAAAAACACGGCGCAATGGAGGGAAGAGAAGAAAAAAACCACRCGGATCAGCTTTGCTGTGACCGATGTTGCATCTTGCAATCCCCCCTTGCAAAAAGCATCAGGCAGAGCCTGCCTACAAGGAACCCCGGCCCCTGCCTTGCCCCGGTTTTGCCCATGGAAAGGAGCAAACCCGGCGCTGCTTCGCTGCAGCATCGGCTCCTTTGTGTTGTCCCGGCGCCCCCATGTCCGGGTTCTCCCTGCTCTGCTGGCAAGAAAAAGAGGAGAAAGCCTCTCGTTCCCTCTGCCCCACTCCTGCTGCCAGTGCCACAGATGCAGGAGCCGGGTTTGGCAAGGAGCAGATGAGTGTGAGGGGGCGGGAGGGGACAGCAGCGCCCTAAAAATGAGGGGGGGGACACAGGAAAGATGCGCTCGGCTGCAAGCAGAGAGAGCCTGGGCTGAAACCACCTCCTGCATCTTCATCCAGCCCTTCATGCAGGGAAAGGAGCGGGGTCCCATGTACCCCCAGATCCAGGAGGCACCGCAGCCCTGTCCCCACGCAGGGCACAGYGTGTCCCTCGGAAACACGGGGCGAAAGTTTCTGCTCTCGGGTGTTTTTGACCACCGCGAAGCCCCTGGCTGGATGGGGGCGGTGAGGAGTTCCCTGCCCTCCAGGGACTTGCTCCCAACAGGGAGCTGCTTCCCAGCAGGGAAAAGGGATGGGGGTCCCCGAGGCGATGGCAGTGGGGGAAGGGGGTGAGCAGCCCCCCAAGCTTTTCACCCTGCCTCCCGGCCCCTACGCGGGAGTCCGAAAGATGGCAGGGTCCGTTACTGGCTCCGGAGCGTGTGCTTCATTAGCGGCTCCGGGGCAGATGCCCAATTACAGGTGCCCCCCCCCCCCGCACCCACAGAACCAGGGGGACACAGAGGGTACCCAAAGACACAGCCCCTCCAAGCCCCATCCTTTATTTTTCCTCCCCCAGTTTCCAAGTGGGCTTTCCAAGCCACCTTGGGGTGTCTGTTCCCCCCTAACCCTCCTCCCCCCCCCGTAATAATTTCAGGGAATTGTGCCAACAACCCCGACCCATGGAGGGGTAAAGGGTGTTTGGGGGGGTGACACTCACCCAGTGCCGCCTCCAGCAGGTCCCAGAGCAGCAGGATGAGGGGCAGGACCCTCATCTTGTGGCGAGTGGCTGCGCCGAGGGGACAGCCTCTTGCACCTTAGAAGCGCCCGGTGCTGCCGCCCGGCATCGCTCCAGCACCCCGGGGGGGTCCGCGGTTCCAGGAGGGAATGGGTGTCGCGAGGAAGCTCTGTGGTACCGGAGGATGCTCCACGGTGCCGAGGACGCTCCGTGGTACCTGCGATGTTCCGTGGTACTGGGGGATGCTCCGTGGTGCTGGGGGATGCTGTGTGGTACCAGGGGATGCTCTGCAGTACTGGGGATGCTCCCCGGTACGAGGGATGCTCCGCAGACCCGGGGATGCTCCGCAGTGCTGTAGGATGCTCCTCAGTACTGGAGGATGCTCCGCGGTCCTGGGGGTGCTCTGCGGTATCAGGGATGCTCCGCGGTCCCAGGGATGCTCCGCGGTGCCCGACGCGGGGGGATTCGGCGGTGCCGGGGCTGCTCCGCACCCCGGGGGGGCCCCGCGGTGCCGGGGCTGCTGCAGCGCGGCTCGGCCGCCCCCCCGGCCCCCTTAATCCCGGGGTTAATCCCGGCTGCGCGGCCGCGCGGCCGCCTCTAAGCCGCTTTGTGGCAGCGAGGCAGGAGAGCGCGGCGCTGCCGCCGCCCCCGGCCCCCGCCCCGCGCCGGGGCTGTTAACCCTGCGGCCGCCGCGAGGCCGCGGGGAGAGGCGCCCGGACGGGCTGGGGGAGGCGGGATGCGGCGGGAAGGGGCCGGTCCCCGGGAGCCGGGATGCGGGCAGGGAGGGAGGGGCGGGTAGGGGGGGGATGCAGGGCGAGATCCAGGCAGGATGCAGGTGGGGATGCGGGATGCAGGTGGGGAGGTGCGGGGCCGGCGGGGGTGTGGGATGGTGGCAAAGAGGGATGAGGGATGCAGGGGAGGATGCGGGATGCAGGGGGAGATGTGGGGTGCAGGGAAGGATGCAGAATCCTGAGGGGAGGTCTTTTTGGGGATGCGAGATGCAGGCAGGGATACGGGGGCCGGGGGGATGTCACGTGCAGACAGGGGAACAGTGCAGGGGGGCAGGCAGAGATCCGGGATGCAGAGGGTGATGTGGGGGCCAGGGAGGGATGCAGGATGCCGGCGGGGTGATCTATGCAGGGATGTGGGATGCAGGCAGGRATACRGGRGCTGGTGAAGGATGTCAGATGCAGGGGAAGATGTGCGGTCCAGGCAAGGATGTCRGAGGCGGGGGAGATGTGAGTTTACATAGGAATACAGGGTGCAGGCAGGGACGTGGGATACAGGCAGGGAAGTGGGGGCTGGGAAAGGATATGAGATRCAGGGGAAGATGTGAGGTCCCAGGACAGGGGATAGAGGCAGGGATRCAGGATAAAGGTGGATGGGGACATGTGGTCGAGGCAGGGATGGGGGATGTAGGTCGGAGGATGTGCAATATAGACAGGGATGTGCGATACAGGGATATAGGGATGTGGGATACAGGAACCCACCACACACGGGAAGACGTGAGGTCCARGCCAGGATGCAGCCAGAGAGGGAGTCTTGGAGGGGATGGGGGAGCTGGGGGGAAGGATGTGAGCTCCAGGGGGAGCTGGAATTCAGGCAGGGATATGGACTCCTACRTCCATGGGGATGCAGCAGCGGCTTCTATCCAATCCCCCTCCATGCAAAGGGCTGCATGGTCCTTAATTCACTATTTCCCTCTCTGTCCAGCCACCACAACGGGAATAGGAATCCCTGTGGCCCCGAGGAGCCCCTCCCAGACCTTCTTCGCAGTTTGCTTCATTTTCTTCCAGATTCCCCCTTTTTAATTAATTACCACCGTTGATGCACACAGGAAAGCACTCGTCTTTTTTACCCTTTTGGGGTACCCTTTTTACCCTTTTTTTTTACCCTCCTGTCGGCGACAGGAACCCAGGTGCCCCGAGACCCCAAAGGGAATTAAAGCAATTTCCGTGATGCTTTTTTAATAGCCTGACAAGAGGCGCGCACGGCGGGCTGCTCCAGCCTCCTGGTAGCGGCCGCCTTTTTAATGCCAAATAATGAATACGCTCCATGCCCGCCAAGCTGCTCGGCTCACTTCACCATCTCAACCTCATCCCATCCAGAAAACAACCCCCCAAAACCCCCAAAGCCCTAAAAACGTGGCTATTTTACTCCGTAAATCTCCAAGCACCGTTTTCCTACCCAGCCCTTTACATCGCTTGCGAGCGGCCCAAGATTTATGTAGCCAGGGTTTCCAGCTGTAATTATTCCCTTAAATCTCGTCCTGGTGCTGGGTGCTTTTAAGCGGCCCCTATTTCACTGCCCCGATGCACTTGGGCTGGGGGATGCTTGTTGGGCTGGAATTACAGCTTTCCAGCAGCACTTTGATACCTGTCGTCCTCCCTGGAGCTAGAATAGCCCTTTTCTTCTAGTGGCATACATTGCATGCCAAATATATATATATAAGTAAATTGGGAAATATATATATATAAGTAAATTGGGGGGGAAAAAAAAAAGAGGGAAATATGCCTGAAAAGTCCCTATTGGAGACGCAAAGCATCTGGCAAAGGTGCGAGCCGCTGGTGAGGTAGGATGGGCCGCTCCCGATCCAGCCGGGATTGCAGGGACCAGCGTTGGAGCGTGGCATGCTGCGAGGTCCTGCTGGGATTGGACATGACGCTTAAAAAAACCATTGGGAAAAAAAMCCCTCAACAACAAAATAAATTCAAAAGAGGGAGCCTTTTGAAAGGATCATCTTGGCCTTCTTCCCTCCGCGCTAATGGAAGGCTTCACTTTCCTCGTCTGGAAAGGACATTTTGTTTCCCAAAATTGCTTAACTTTTTCTCTTTTTATTTTTCCCCTCCGGAAAGTGAAAAAAAAAAAAACCCCAAAAGAGCCAAATAACACGAAAACCCCCCGCCTTTTCAGCTGTGCTGGAAACACAGCAGCTCAGCTGCTTGGACCGCTTCCCCCCTGAACCCTTGCAGAGCCGGAAACCTTCCCGTTTTCCTCCCTTCCTGCCTGGAATAACTCCCCTGGCACCACCATCTCACCCATTGCCTCCCTGAACAAACCCTCCCAGGAGCTACATAAATATAACCAGGTGCAAGCATACGCATCTATATATACACACCTATATATATATATATAAATATATATATTTTTTTGCTTCCGAGATGAGCGCCACGGCAGCTGTATAAATAGGTCGCCACCATCCGCTGGGTGGATATAAATAAGGTTGCAAGCAGCTCGCTGCCTTCTCCGGCCTGGATGCCGAGTGATTCGGAGGCTTCATTCCCTCCTGGAGAGGAGAAACCTCCTCAGGGGAGTGGGAAACGCAAGGGGGGAAAGCCTCGTTTGCAGGCGAAAATCTGGGGAAAATTTCCCCCAAGAGACAAACAAGGAAAAGGACCCAGAATTATCCGAAAGGGATCGAGTGTGAATGCCCTGAAAAATCAACGCTGGGCCACAGCGCAACCATCAGCTGCTCCCGGTTATTTCTGGACCGCAGTTACTTGGACGGGAATTTGTTGCAGTGGGTGAGCTGCAAAAAAAATGCTGTAAAAAAAAACATATATAAATATATATATGTGCTGGTAGTAAATGTAATTTGAAGGTGATTGAGGAGCAGCGGTGGGTTCCTGGGACCCTTGGAGCTCCTGGAGGAGCCGCAGTTTGGTGGCCAAGCCCGGGGACAGATTGCAGAGCACATGCAGAAAGCACAGGGCAAAGAGGGAGGAAGAGGAGGAGGGAAGSGGTGCCTGGGCGCCCTTTCCATCCTCCTCCRGGCCCGGGCTGGTGAGCAGCTCCATGTCGAGCTTGGCTGTGTCCTCTTGCGCGCTCCGCATGTCCTCCTGGACCAGCCTGCCCCTATCTGGATTTGCATGGAAAACCAAGCTTTCATGGGCTACTTCAGCTCAGTGGCGCTCATGGCTCGTCTGGTTCTAACACCACCATGGAAAGACTGAAGCAAAGAAGGCACAAACCAAGGGGAAGCCAACACAAGAAGAGCAGCATCCTCCCAAGCCAAGCCCAAAGTCAACAAGAGCCCATTGGCTCCACCATGACCAAAAGCAGAGGGACAACGAGTGGTTTCCAGATGGAGAATGGAACACAATGCCCGGTGTGTGGAGCTGTGGAAGGGTCCCGACGGGGGTCCCTTTATGAGGCCGATTACTCCATTACGCTGTGCGCTCCGCTGCTGAGAGACTCAAGAATTCCAGTCATTTGAGGCAGTTATCTCCCCACGATTTAATTAAAGTCTAGTGTTTAATGACACGACGCACTACTAATTATTTTCCATTGGTTGTCAGGAGGCTTCTTTTTTTTTTTTTTTTTTTTGTGTGTGTGTGGTCACAAAGTCAAATTTAATTATGGCGAGGAAGGAGTCAGGGAAACATCCGACGGGCTCTTGGGACAAGGAACTTTGGGTGGGTGAGTGATGAACCCAGCCCTGTTCGGCAAAGACAAGAAGCAAGATTTGCCCGAATGTCCACGATGGATGGAGGAGAAATGAGGACCTGAGGGACCCTTTTAGGGCAGGACCCCTTCCTCTGCTCCTCTTTAGCCAAGGAGAGCAGATAAAAGGTGACACGTAGATGCACCCAGCATGGTCGTGTCATTGCAGAGACTTGGTCCACAGAGGCGCTGGAGATTTGGGAGGAGGTACAGCATGCAGGCTTGAGGAGCACAGCACCCGAGACAGATGGATATTGAGCTTCTCACCTATCAGAAGAGATTCCTGTATCAATACAGCACAGTCCTAACCCTATTCCCTACACTATCTTCCCGCATAGACCCTCCAAGTCTACTGTGACCCAATATTTGGGCCGGGATGCCCCTTGCTAACCCAACACGGACTCTGGGTGGCCTGGCAGCGGGACGTGCGCTCAACCAAGGGCCAACGAGAAGCCGGATCTCTCGGAGCGAGCGGACGCGCCGCTGGCTGCGATACCTCCAGTTGGGCCGAGCCAGCAGCAGAAGAGCCGCAGGAATCCCGTTTCACCTCCCTGCCTCCAGCTTTTGCCCAGGGGGAGGTTTTCCCCTCCCTAAGCCTCAGTTTCCCCGTAAAGTGGAGCTAACAGCGTACGCTCGTTTTCGCTGGGGCCTTTGATCTCCGGCTTAATTACCCGCGGYGTCACGAGCCTCCTCCTCCGAGTGCATTAAAACATGCTAAGCCACCCGACAATGTAGGAGCTGAGGATTAAATCCTTAAATATCCCATATCTGGAACAGCCTGGGTGATCGTGGAGGAATCACCTGCAATCCCGCATGTCTGGAGCCCACTAAGCATGTTTAGACCCTCCTATCAGCAGTTTCTGCTGCCTCAAATTGGCTGTATTCAGATTATAAAGGTTTTTTTTTTTTTTTCCCAAATGGAAAAGTCAGGAGAAGGAGGAAGAACAAAACATCTCCCCAAGGAAAAATAGAGGGGCTCAAAAATCTTCAGAAAAGGGCTGTTTGGGGGCTTTAGGCCTGGTAGAGCGCACCATAACCATCTCGCAC